GAGTAGGTTAGGCAATTCATTTAGGGAAGAGAGAGAAAACATCTCCTCTAAGGCCCAGAATAGCTCCACCTCTGTGCATCATCATCATCACTCTCCGCATTGTTGGTGTCAGAGAGAAGGTTAGATTTAAGCTTTGCTGAGCCTGAACAAAACACCTAAAGGTTGCACATGTCGCTGTTATGTCCGATAAGGACCACTAGTGAGCTGGCATGAAATATTAGTCAGTCATCAATATTTTCATTGCATCATGTTCACTGCATGGACAACAAAATATGGCTGCTGCGATATTCAAAACACTAAATCAGGGTTTTTTTTTTAAAGGTTCAGAGGAGGATAGAGGCTTTCAAGGGACAGTTTAGAAAAATCATTTCGGAAAGTAAACTACTGTTGTTGTCTTGCTTCTGTAACAGGCTGCTGTTTGTACACACATGTGGCCTAATGCTAAAATTAAGTGTGTGAAAATTAGGACGTGATTTCTACTCTGCAAAGGGCGATTTGAAATCAGACAATGAGACTCTCGGGTTTGTCACCCACAAAGCAGCAGCTTTCAATCGGTGTCGGCGCAAACTGCAGCAGCATCACGCCTGGCGCCCAATGTCTCCAACATTTTTAGAAGAACACCGTCACATTTTATAAAGACTATTGAGAATATACACTGTATTTCTTCTTTAATCACTTCTTTATACAAACCAGTGAATCCATGAACGGGGGAGTCTATGGTAAAACCGGTGTGTTGTCTCTATGTCCCAGCTGTTTATACACTGCTCCAACTGAAACTCAAAGAACAACAACGCCCTCTAGCGGCCGCTGCACATCTCCAGTGAAGCCTGCTGCTCCAGTTACAGGGCCAACAAAGAATATTCACCTCTGCAATTTGAGGGTTTTGCTCTTTGAGTTGCCTGGCGCTGTTATAAATATTATTACTCGTAATAAATTGTAATTTATTTGCAAAAATAAAAATAAAAAACAATCAAAAATACCAAACTATCCAGGCTAAATGTTGTTTCCCCCAGAGTCGCCTTGGATGAGGTACAACTGGGACAAATTAAAAAGAAACAAAGTCATCAGAAAATAATAAAATGACATCGGGCCCCAGTCAAAGTTCAGTTTTCTTTTTCCCATCAGTGGGAAGTGCAGCTGATGAATAAACGTGACCATTAAGGTTGCGGGTGATTTCCTCTAAAACAATTCCTCCAGCAGACACCCCGTGGAAAAGTGTCTACCTTCTGTGTGTCAGCAGCAGACGCAAACCCAAGAAAAGGGGGTTTCAAAGGAGAGTGCAATTACTGGCCAGGCCCATAAACTCATTTAGGCCAGACGTCTAGCCATTTCTATAGCTTTATTTCTTCCTGCTTTAAAGTAATTATTCGCAGGCTACAAGTTGGACAATAACTTGGAAATCCGCTGCAACACCTCTCCCAATCGTAAACGCTTTATTACTTGAACCCCTGCGTTTCAAATCCACAGTTTTAAAAATAAAAAAAGTGAAAACGGATGCATGGTGTGGTCTCACCTAGGACTGGAGAACGACTTTATTCTTTTAAATATATCTGAATTGATTTCGTTGGCTGCAAATAAGGAAACCCAACAGTTTAACGCGCACTCTTCTGGGATGTATTATTTGTCTGGAGTCTAGAGCAAACACGACCTGAGGGAATCAGCTTTGATTTAAAATAGACAAAATCAAATAACCCGACAATATGCAGAAAAAGAAAAAAAGTTAAGTCACATATTTATTGATGTTTAAGACTGAACGGAGAATTTGCTTTCCCCAAATACAGAACCAAGTCAATCACAACAAGCCAAAGTCCGCACGGCCTGTACTGATGCAGCATCTCCGTGCGTGTTCTACACAGACAGCAGTTACTTATCGTCGTTTAGTTGTAAAAATGTTTTATTTACACGTCCAAATTCCTAACAGCTATAAAGGCAATACACATAGGCACGTTTTCCACTGTGGCGGGTGCTTAACACGCCCGGGAAAGTGCACGAAACCCCCAGTTTGTCACCGTGTAACAGTGAAAAACTGAACATTTCAGGTGTCTGAAGCACCGTGTGTGCACCTAGACAAATTCCTACACATGTGGTGCACATTTGGCGACACGTTAAGACGCGGACATCCAATAATATGTTTATAAAGTAAAACAAAAGAAGAGTGGCTACCGAGGCTCCTAAATAAATGCCATCATTGTTCAGGTGGTTTCAGCAGCAGCAGTCAACTCATAGCTGCTCTTTGCTGCTCTTCTCTCTGTTCATCTTCTTCATTTTCATCCTCCTGTTCTGGAACCAGATCTTCACTTGTCTCTCGGTTAAACTGAGTATGCGGGCGACTTCGTAGCGTCGGTCTCTGGTCAAATACATGTTGTAGAGGAACTCCTTCTCCAGCTCTAGAGTCTGATATTTTGTGTACGGACATCGCTTCTTTCTCGTAGAGCGTGCGTGAATCCAGTTTGCTGCAGGGTTGTCTGAAAAACAGAGGGGAGAGAGACATGTGATGAGGTTGTTGAAATTTAACTAATGACTAGGTGGTTTCCAATATGGGGTTGGAGGAGTTGTAATCTCACCGGTGCGGTTGCAGACACTCAAAATGAGCAATAGCCTATTTGGACGGACTGGGAGACAATGCGTAAAGATGTCCTGGTTTTACTGATAGGCTAGATACCACCAGAGGAAATCAAATCAGGCCTAACTATCCTTCAGGTAAAAAGCTTATTAAAATGAGGTGATGTGTATCTATTTTGGGTTTCCTGTGACACCACAATGTTTAGGGTCTCCTGTAACAACCAGTGTAGGGCGGGTTTTCTCCCTTCCCGAGCCGCGGTATGAGACACTTTTATAGGTTAGTAAAACCTCCAGGTTTACACACCCAGCTCTTACAGTTCTTAGGGCTGTAAATCAGGACCGGCTATTTCGTTTACTTACTTGGGTCAAGTTGTTGTTGTTGTTTCTCCTCTTTGGGCTCGTTGTGGCTCGAAAGCTCACTTGCACTCTGCACTTTGGTCGCTTTTTCTGGACACTCCGATGCTCCACACGCGAATTCACCGGCGAGCGGCCGAGCTTCTGCTTCCAACGTGTCGCACTCTGTAGCTTTCAGTGGCAGCACCTCTGGCTTTGTCCCGTACGGCCGAATACCGGAGTGAAGTCCGGCAAAAGAAACGTGGTTGGAGATGGGGTCCATCCACGAGCGGACGCCGACATATCTGCTGTCCGAGGCGGGCAGATGGGACTGGTGGTGGTGCACATATGGATGATAAATCCCTTGTGGGTGAACCGGAGACCAAGAAGAGGAGAAAACGGCGGACTTTGGCGCAAAATTGCAAGAGGAGAATTCAGCGTTGTCCACAGCACCTGACGGCCTCGGGGTCACCGTGTGTGGAGCCTGAATAAAGCGAGCACCGTACACATCCTCCGGCTCCTGCCCCATTATAGCGTCCACATAGCAGTTACTGAGAGTGCCACTGGAAGACATTTTTGATCTCTTCCTACTCATATAATAAGGGTTGCACTGTTACGGGAAGCTTCTCTCTATGAACAATCATACTATTTTTGCTGGCCTGCATCTACAGGGATTGGTTACATGGATCACGTGGTCATATTTACCAATACAGCGAGTAAATCAATCCTGCCCTTGCTCTCTCTTTCTTTTGGTCAGGTTTAATTTAGCTTTTCATTTCACATATAATAAAAAATCCCCATCAGATGTGACTGGAGGAAGAAAACAAGTGCTCACATGAATGCAAATGTTTTTCCCCCCCTCTCCATTTCTCATGAGCGTGTGGCTGCAGGACGTTGCACCCATACAAAGAAAGGAGTTTCCTCCACACACAGTTCACCAAGACGTAGCCCCTGCGTCTTAATGTTTGAGAAAACTCTCCCAGTCTCGCTCCGATACCCCTAGTGCTAGTAAAATGGTTTACAGACTTGAGTAATCCTCGTAAAATAGATGTAATAACATGTGGTAAAATAACAGAAGCCATTTCCGTTCACAGTGCGGTGGATCCATTGTTAAAACTCGGCGAGGAAACATATTTTCTGGGTTGGTTAATTTGTAAAGTTAAGCAGGAAATGACAGTTGTGGAACTATTATATTTATTCAAAGGAAAGCAATAATGCCTTTATGTATCAATGAATATTTTATGAGGTGCGTGTGATGTGCCGTCAGTTAAAAAAAGTACTTGGAGACGCAAAGTCGATTTGTGTATTGTTGGATGAATTTAAAAGTAAAAAAAATGCATGTAATGAAGAAGAATTTCTTGACCTTCAGTACAGAAAAAGAACCATTTCAAGGGAAATGGCTCAGATTTAGGTCACATTTATAGCGGATCAGCCTTCACATGTCACTGTTTCACACATAATGATCAAATATGACGTGAAAAGAAACGCATCGTGGCCACTGATCTCGGAATGAAGGAAACACCGATTCTTGCTTGTGAAATGGTGCTGGAACATAACCCCCCCTCCCCCCTGACAATTCTTATGGACTATTACTTTGGTTACAAACAGGACTGAAAATAAAAACAGCACCATGTTTATTTGATTACGCGAGCCACGCTTCAGTCTCTCTGCAGATGGTTTGGAATGAGCGATAAAAGAAATGGCGGAGCAGGTTTGTTGTCTTATTTAAGCAAGTTTATTGTATTTTTTGCACTTATTTTAAAATAGAGATTTTCCATTTTGTCCCCATGAAGCTGGGATATAGCTTTAAAATCGGCTGGTGGCCTGCAAACAAACAAAATCTAAAAAAGCTTAAGCTTATAAATTCATCTTGAGGTGAAATTAGAGATTGCTCTAAATAAGAACTTCTGTTCTTACAGTTACAATAAAGTGCAGTAGGTCCGTTTAAATGTCTTTTTCCTCACCATAACCTTTGCAAAATAGTGCCCCTGCCAATACAATAACATGGCAGCCTTCGACATTGGTGTAGCAATTTCCAATAAAGAAGACAACATGGCATAAGAAATACAAAACAAGATTATCTGACAATCTATTTATTGCAAGGTACATGCCACAAACATGCAATAAAGTCACAGATTAACATTGTTTTCCGCCACTTTAAAAGGCCCATAGAAACATTTCACTATTGAGCAAATGGCTTGCACTTACTGTAAAACAAATGTTGCACTATACGACAATAAATGTGCTTTCATGACAGAAATAGAGTAACTCTTTCCACACAGCTCGCCACTGCGATACAATACAACACCCATGTCTGTTGGATCAACCTCCTCCTCCTCCAATAATTTAAGACTAAAAAGTGCTACCCTGTGATAAAAGAAACACACGACGCCGCACGAAGTACTAAAATGGCATGTATATATTTATATAGTCACAGTTTCTTTGAAATTGAAGATAAACGTCCAATGCCACTAAAGCATCAAACAGAACACAGGGGGGGAAGAAAGGAGAGAGAAGCGGTGACGCACGCAGGCTCACGTAAAGGTGAGGTTTGAGGTCAGTTCGCGGATGCGGTTTTCCCTGTTCATTTTCTTCAGTTTCATCCTGCGGTTTTGAAACCAGATCTTGACCTGCCTGTCGGTCAGGTTGACGCTCCGGCTGATCTCTAGGCGGCGCTCTCGGGTCAGATACATGTTGAACAGAAACTCTTTCTCCAACTCCAAGGTCTGGTGCTTTGTGTAGGGGCATCTCTTCTTCCTGCCACTTTTTGCTGTTAACCAGTTGCTCGTCGGCGTGTCACTCTTGCAGTCTGTGAGGATTCAAATATAGAGACATTCGATATTTTAGATTTTTTTTGCTGCAGCCTGAACCATATCTCACCTGCTGCTTTGGATGTCACCTCTGGGAAATAAACACAGTATAAATGCTTCCCCCAGAATAAATAATATGCAGGGGATGTTTCTAGTCACGTCCATGCCACCACTAATAAAACAAAAATTAAATGAAACCCCAACTGAACAACCTGAATCCTGAATGCATCCTTACAGCTAGAAACTGTATTACAACCTAATAGTTTTATTAAATCTTAAAAACCCATTACCCTGTAACCTTTGATTAACTTGTTAAAATGCAGCTTTAAATTCATTTGTCATGTTGTAAAGCACTAGTTATTTTTTCCACTATTATAATGAAGTTACAATTGCACCCATTTTTGAAGACCACTGACAGTGAACTGCGAATTTAAATCAGAAACAGATCACAGAATTGTTAAGTTCAGTTATTTTTTGTTTAAACCACGCAGCATATTAGAATATAAAGCAGCAGACTGTGAAAATACATTTTTAGACATTTGAATTTAAACATCTGGGGAAAGCTCTGCACGTTGCATGCTTAAAGCCCTCTGCTGCCTATTACTGCAACCTGAGAAAGACTCTCATTAAACATTACGACTTTAGGGTTGTTTGTGTTTTATACTTGGTTTTATGATGCTGGAGCCTTCACAGCACAACGCCACAAAATAAAAGCTTTGACTGTAGCCGACCCACCTTTCCCTTCCTTCTGCTGCAGCTCAGGACTGGACACAGACGCTTCCATGGGGCAGGTTTTTTCCTCCGAGCTGCACTTAGGGTCCGGACTTTCTACCGGGAGAGCTGTCCTTGAGGTCTCGGAGTTTTGCTGGACGTCCTCACCTTTCTTTCCCACCTCTGCAAAATTAGAGGACGACGAGGAGGACGGTGGTTTCGGGGTGACCCGGCTGAGCTGCATTAGTGTTGGGTTCGGACTCGGCGGCTCATGGCAGTAGTTTTCCTGATGCTTCCCATTCGCATAAGTTTGGCTCAGTCGGAAATAACCCGGAACCGGTATCTCTGGACCGTCGACTGAACAGGGGTCGGGTATAACGTTAGAATATGCGGTGATTTCTGTCGAGCTGACTTTTTGTACTCTCTTATCGGTGTACATGCAGCAGTTACTCTCTTCCTTTATGCTCTGTGAAAATGAACAGTTTGACATCTGACTGGGCGGCTCTATTCTGCAGGATCTGTTCGGATCAGTCCAGTTATCTATTTGAGGTATGTACGAGTGGACATTCATGCCCATATTTTGGTGGTTGACCTCCCCTCTTTTGCCAAAAGACGGCAGGAGTCCACAGGTTTGCATTCCGTAAGTTCCCATTTCTGTGCCAGACGGCATGTACATGTTGCTGCTGGAGTAAAAGCTGTCCGTCCTACAAGCACCAATTAAAGAGTCCACTAAAAATGTGTTTGCCGCAGGAGAGCTGCTAGGAAAGGACATTTTTGGGGGTTAAGCTCCTTAGAGGAGAGAGATGTCCTTTGTAAGCTGACATATCTAAGAAAAACAAGTCAGGATGCCTCCCGACCACATGACAAGCCCACCAATGAGATTTGAAAATGGCCTTGAGACGCAGCCTCCTCTCTCTGCACACACTCGTACTGCAGATGCAGACGTGGTCAACAGCGACACCTACAACACGGACTTGAAACTGGCAGCCTTGTGTAGACACAGAGGGTATCGCGGGACTTCACGGAGGCTGTGCGTTAAAACCGAAGAAGTTACAATTCATAGACTATTTGAATTACACTAACAAACACGATCCCTTCATTTGGATCTCACCTGGTCAGCAACCGAAGGTCCGTGGAGTGTTTGCTAATGTGTAAAATGCCCAAATGGTTTAGGTCTACTTGTGTGTGGGACTGTAGATGTGTGTGTGTGTGTGTGGGTGGGTGGGTGTGCGTAAAATGCTGCCATGGCGCATAGGCGGTAACTGCAGACTATTTCAAAGTATGTAACCAGCTCTGAACCTAATCTTTTGATATTATTCATATCAACTATTGACATGGCGCCAGGACCAGCAGTGGCATTAACTGTATTTACATCTTTCTACAGTCTGGAATACGTGATCTTACAGTTAAAATGTCAAACAAAAGAATAAAGATGACATTGTGTAAATAGAGTTCCCTCTTTTCATTAATTTGGTGATTGAAGGTTCTTTATTTTTGGATAGGATTTTGAGGTTGAAGTTTTATAATTTAATAGCATCAAATCATTGTAAGGACAACGGCCTTTTACATTTTCTACCAAATGTCTACGGTGAAATTAAATATTGAATTCAAAATGTGAGTCCAACGTTCACAAACTTAAACGAATCGGTTTGGAAAAGCTGTCGTGAATGAAATAAAGTCCTCTGAACCCAGATAGAAAATGGCCCTTTATTATTTGCACAGTTAATTAAGCACAGTATTCTTGTTTGCATTTTTGTCACAAGTGTTTTCGACATTCAGATGCAAAGTTCAAAATAATAACCTGTTGAAGGAGACTTTGTAGACAGTCTGCGGGTTATTTCTCTCAAGGCTCAGTTGTTTTTGTCTGCATCGAAGGCAAATGTGTGCAAGATAAAGTGTGTGCATGCCAAACCGAAGATTTTAAAAAAATAAAATAAAAACCAAAACAACTGGTGCCTGACAATATCCACCACCAAACCTCCACCTGAAGCCCAGTGGCCCCAGTGATTCCATAGTTCCTTAGAAAGAAAACGCGCAGTGAATGCATCTAAAAATTCAGTTAATTCCGTCTTTGGTATTAATACAACAAGTTTAAAACAATCATACAAAGTGTTTAAGAGAACGTGTAAATACTGTGTTGCCTGTTTTTGAGGCTCTTATGTACAGTTGATTGTAAATAAACGTGTAAAATGTATATAATCAAAACATCACATAGGACTCACTAACAATAAAATACACGTCAATTTAATGTCCTAATTGTGATTATGGGATAGCTGTAGAAAATACATTCCTCTTGTTATTTTAATAGAAGAAAAAAAAACCAGTGAAGTGAGAAATGTGACCTGTGGACATCATATCTGCTAAACATGATCATGTTTCTAATAACGTTCAACAGCATATACAGGGCGACATGCTCAAAACAAAACTCTTAAACATGGAAGTATATGCTTCATGTATATATTCATAAGAATAAACTGCTGATATTTCGCCGAATATAACACAGTAATAATAATAATAATACAAGGGGTACCAGGAGGTGCACTAATATGTAAAGTATAAAGACAGAAGGTGGGGTTAATCAAAAAATAAACAAAAACAAAATAACAACAGTGATACTAATTCTGTATTTTTCCGGAGTAATTCATATTTTAAAGCAAATACAGACCCAGATTAAGGATAATTGAACAACATTTATGCGAAATGAAATGAAGCTGTAAGAAACCAACAAGGCCGTTGTTGTCCATAATCCACCATGACATCAGTGGCTGCAGAGACAGATGTGGCCTGCACGGCTGTGCGGCCTTCAGGTGAAGACCTAACTCTGTACATTCAAGACTCGGAGCAGAGTCATACCTCTTTTGTTTACCATGTCCGTTCAAAACACTTGAACCTGACTTGTAAATGAAACTGCTGTCTGGAAGACACCGCCCCAGTAAGTGCACCAGTTAAACTGGGAACCGAGGGAGAAAATAACGTGTAATAATGTTTTAGATCTTTACGTTCTCAGCACTGCAGAGAAACGGCGTAACAACACGCGAGTTGGGACATTTCTAAAATAGAATAAGGAAAAAAAACCAAGAGAATTCTGGATAATGGAAGCACTTGGTTTTAAATGAAAACCCTAGTCAAACCCTGGGATGAACGGATTATTCCTCCACTGACTGGTTTTTATATAGGGTGGATGTTAAATGTGGCTCAACCCTGCAATTCAACTGCAAAGCAGCAAGTCTGCCCTCATGTGGATACACCGAGAATCAGCGTGAAATACCCCACACACTGCTGGTCGTGTAATGCATCCGCAGGACGTGATGACAAGCCAATTAAACGCTTAATGAAAGCTTAGTTTTCTAATAGCCTTTGGGAAATAACTGTGGCTGTGATACATCACAAGTGAAATAAACGTTCATCCCACTCCATTCTTTCATCATAACGCTCGCTGAACCAGGAGATGTAATTGTTAAAGCACAGACCTGAAGTGAAAAGAATCCACTGACATCACACCAATGATCAACCAAGCGACTATTCGTGTGCATCTAGTCTGTCCCTTTATTTACAAAAGTAACAAGATGATTTAGTCTAGTGAGGTAAAGTCAGGTTATTTCACATCAGCCTGGGCCACATCAGTCTTAACAGTTCACCTGTTTTCAAGGAAAATGTGCTTTTGATTCTCTAACATTCAGAAAGCGCTCGTTTGCAGCAAATTCAGAGGCGTCAAAAACATATTTCGGATACCTGCTAGAAAAGCAGATAAACTTGAAAATAAATCTATCCTTATTGGAATATCGTCCGTTATTGCCTAGTTAACAATGCTAACACTTCGCCCCAAGAATTCAAAAGGAGCTAAATATGAGCGTCATGCGCCGAAACCTCTTATATTCTGTGAATATTTGTAGCCTGGCGCTTGGCTACAGTACATTGGAACAGGAATATGAATTGATGCTCTTGTGTTTCTGGGGGTTGGGACACCAAAGGTCCAATAGCCCCTTATTTAGACATTTACAGCTTCTTTTAGTATAGTGTCTAGACGGTTCAAGGTTTAGTAAACAGTCCAGTGTTTGAAAGCAGAGGAAACAGCGAGGAACCCACAGGCCTGCAAGCGCCAAATCCTCCAGTGGAGAAGCTTTAGAAAATATCCCCCATTACATTTTTGTAAGACTTGGTTGAGATCGTGTAACAGGTTTCGTGACTTAGGATACTACATTTGATTTCACACCACACACAACGTACATTACATGCGTCTTTATAAATGCACATTACACAAGGAAGAAGCTTACATACTCTCTATAAATAATTTCAAAGCGCTTTGCCTAAATAGTTGTTGCAAATAACGTGAAAATATGAGCATGAATAAATATGCAGGGGTTAGTTAATTGTCGAGATATGACAGGTTAGTTTTGTCAGATTTGCGTAAATTAAAATATTTAAAGAGGATGAATGGGAGCTCAATAAAGCAGAGAGGATCTGTCTTTGAAACATGTGGGAGGAGAGGCTATTTTACTTGTGTGTGTGTGTATGTGTGTGTGTGTGTGTGTGTGCTACTATGTCAGGTATCAGAATAAAGGATTCCCAGTGAAATACTGTAGGCGGTCGCGGTTTAGCTTTTTCTCTTTCATTCTTCTATTTTGAAACCAGATCTTCACTTGCCGATCTGACAGGTTTAGCATCCTGGACAGCTGAAGCCGCTTCTCTTTGTTAATGTACACGTTGAAGAAAAACTCTCGTTCAAGTTCTCGGATCTGGAATTTGGAGTAAGGACACCTCTTCTTCCTGGACTTGGTGGATGAACCTGCACAGGAAGGAGAAAGAAAAACATGGAAGGTGGTTGAATTGAAGGAAATTTGAAGGTTGGGTCAGATTTTTAATTCAAATATAATTAACAGGGTGACAGATATATTTATTTCTTTTTCTTTTATTTTGCATAAAGACCTCTCTGTCTCACACACACACACACACACACACACACACGGAGAGAGAACAGAAGATTTGCATTCTACTGCACTGATTTTGTTATGTTGGTGTTTGGACATAGACAATCGTATTATAGCTTTTTTAAAACTGCAATCATCCCAGAACAACATAAGACGATTGAATACACGATTTCTAATTTTCCCCAGTCTCCTATCAACACATACCTACCCCAGCAACACAGTACAGTTACAAGACACCAGGCAACATTTAAACTATGGTTACTTGACTGTTTCCCATTGTAAATACCTTTACAGCCGTAAAGTAATTCTTACTGGGACGTAAAAGCTTTTGCATGCTTATAAAGCAAGCGCATAACCCTGGACGGCCACTGTGGTAGGCACAGTGCAGTCCAGACACTATTGTTTAAATTGCAAACCTTATATGCAAGACAAAGAGGAAATTACTTACTCTGTTGGTTGTTCTTGTCGCCGCAGTTGGAGGATGAGTCCTCGTCGACGCTCCCGCCCGGGTCAGCTTTGTGCTCCTCTAGCCTGGTGAAAGCCTGATTGTTATTCGCAGCATCTCCGGGGACAGCAGAGTCTGTCTTTTGTTTGGTGAGCTCCGCGTTAGGGGTGTCTAAAAACTGATCGAAGCCCTGGGGAAGAACCCCGTTTCGGCCGACACCGGTGAAGAAATTGCACGGCGAGCTCGTCCCTCCATGGCGCCCGTATAAGGACTCATTTTTGAATATCACATCCGCCCTGCTGCTGGAGGACTGGATCAAGTCCCGATGCATTATCTCGTCCGCTGAGTAGTACGACGCGTAATTGCCTCTGTAGTGCCATTTGCTGTGATGGTCTAGTCCATAATCCCTGAAAGCGACGTCTCGAACAGGTTGGACTTGGCCTATGTTTGGAGAATAGGGGAAATTAACCTGACACGAAGTCGTCTGCGGTAAAAAGGAGGAGACTGATGTAAAATCGGGCGTAGAAACGTAATAAGTGCAGCTCGGTAAATACATATTTGACGCACAGCTGCGATCATCGTATTCCGTCATATCTCCTCTTCCCCTTTTCCTCTTCGTAACAGAGGAGAGGAATTGGCAGCTTGGCTGTGTTAAACTTTGCCCATCTATAGCTTCACAGGCGTCTGGAAAAAACCCCGCCAGGGAGAAAAAAATCGGAAAACTAGGTAGACCTGCAATACATCTTGATCGATTCTTGGGGTAATTGTGCCATGTGATCCAGCTAAGGAATTACCATACATCAATATCAGTCATTAAAAACAGTCCAGAGAAACTCATGTGAGCGCATGCAAGAGACTTCATTGGCTCCCAGCTGCAGGGTAAACTCCTCTCCAGCCTTCTTGCCCTAAGGCTCAGGGGAGGGGAAAAAAGAAAAAGGAAACAGGCTATGTGGACCACAGCTGGAATATGTAATCTGAAGTTTTACAGGAGCAGCGTCTCCACGGTGCAATGATGTGTAATGACAGTACCTGCTCATTCTTCAATGAATTTGTTGGAGGAGGAATGTTTGTGTGTAGCGCAAGTTAGGTTGGAAACACTGAAGTTGACCTCGGTGCATGACAAGGTTGAGGAGAATGGCACCAAGGCCACCGCGTCTGGGCTGTTGCTGCACGGTTAAATCAAAAGCCTGCAACATTACGTGAATCACAAACGGCTCATTAAATCTGTTTGTGTGCAAATAAAGTTTAGGGTTCATTGGTGCAATCACTGTGCAACATGATGGGTGGATAGTTAAATGGATGCAAACAAACGCTAGCAGGAAAAAAACCTGATGCACTGGCCCACAGCGTGGTCCGCAGAAGAAATAAGACTCCACAATTAATATGCATAATAAATTCTATTGCAAACTAGCTCATGGGTCTAAATCGGTTTGTATTAAAATGTAGAAACATGACTTGCTGTTTTGTTTTGTTTTTTTCCATGTTCCACCTTCAGTACAGGAGAATGCGTTTGAAAACGGCCAAATAAAAAGCCCACGCTCTGCTATTGTAAATGCAGAAAAGTTGGTTTGAATGCCACAAAAACATCAGTTACATCAGCTGCCAGCATGAATCACGGAGCACATTCAGCATTGCCAAGTCCAAAACAACCAGCTCTGAAAGGTCTGCGGTCTAGGTGATGTCCACTGAACATTCACCAACAAACCACTGCAGTCAAATCATTTTAGTAGAAGAAGGCAGCCATGCCTGCACAACCCTTCGGCCTCCTTCTCTTCTCCTGGGGCAAAACGGAGTTTCAACACTGCTGAACGGAAAACCTCATATCTACAAGGCTCGGCCAATATTTTGTTTTCCTATGTGAGTACAACTTTTATGATTTTTAATCATTGCCAAGTACAGAGTATATTAACTGAACAGAACAAAATTATTAAGCAAACTGTAGGACAACAGAAATGTGTAGGGCTTATGTTGTTCTCAGAGAACTATAGTAGATTGTTCCCAGCTTTAGGCTTGAAGGTCACACACAATGTGGACGTATCTTAAAGGCGACTGGGTTTATTGTTATTGGGGGTAAAATCAACTCTGTGGTCGGGTTCTCTGCCTTCAGCCCTGTAAAACTCTTCGAAACCCCTCGGGGCACTTTACAAAAAGTAAGAGTGAAGACTGCAATATTCTAAACACATCCACCGACGCACAAGAGCGCAAAACCATCTTTGTCAATAACTATCCACAGCACTGGAGAGAAAAGTTTAAAACAAAAGTCCTGATTTTATGGGACTGAATTATTTTCTTAACTTCTCAAATAGGCAAAGTTAAAGCGACCTGTTGCTTTGTGTGGTGGTTTGTTGTAGGCTGTGGAACTTGCTGCCTTTATTTCTCTTAATTGTAAACAACAATGACAACGATAATAATAGGTTAGCACTTCTGCACTAACATATTGTAGCACAGTTAACAAAACGTTGCATTCCATGATTCCAAGTTACAATTTCACTTTAACATTCGAAATGATTTTGCAAGAGTTTTTGTGTCTAATCTCAACTTTAATACTAGAAGGTTACAAAATGAGAAGCTGCTTCACATGGTGACAAAAGGTGACTGTTACGGAAACTACTTTCTTTACCCTGACAAAAAGCAACTTTGTGCTTAATGTGGAAAGAAGAAACACACAGCCTACTAACTTGACCTTAACTTTGTTTTGGCACCCCCACCATCTTAAACAGCGTGAGCTATTTGGCGCTGTCTGGCAGAGTTTGGCAGTAAAGCAATAAAGCAACAAACACCGAGGGGGAAAGTTGCGCAACAGACGCACACAAAAGTGTAGTTGTTCAAAATAGTAAGAGCAATAAAAATGAATAGAAAGTGAAATATGCTACGTAGAAACTATACAAAAAATACAGACAAACAAGCTGGAAAACAATCAGCCTGCAGCATATATAAGTGTAGACTGTGCAAAATAACAAACTACAGTAAGACTGCACCAGTTAGAAGAACACAAATAACCCCAACAGCTCTACAGAATCAAAAGCCCCAGAGCACTGAGACCTGTAAGAGTCTGGATGAACCACCTTATTAAGTATGAATGTCAGAAACGTCCATGGATCCTCAGTGTGACTGCAGTGTTACAGAAGCATGATACCTGCAGTGACTATAACACGATGATTATGCAATGGGAGGGACTATTAATAGATCCGTGTGTTCAGCCTGTTGGTGGTTAGAAATGACTGGACAGTTGCAGCTTGAAGTGGCTGCTCTTAGCACCAGACTGACCACTCGTGATCTGTCGCCTTAAACTCTTGCCAGTTATCAACCACAGTGAAACTGCGGTTTTCTGGAATACAAACAAGTGACCCAATTCAGCATGCTCATCACACACACACACACACACACACACACCACCACCACCACCACCAAATCACTCGCTCATTGAGGAACATGTGCGCGTAAATCGCACACACATTCCATACTTTTACAGTGAAATTCTAAGATTCCTTGACAAATGCTGTGGCTTTGTTTGGTCAGAGTAACCTCTAACTGGCATGTGGAGGTTTTGCTTGCGGGTGTGGGCTCTGCTGCTACTGTCATGTGTATTTACTGTGAGGGTGACCTTTCGTGTCTGGACTACGGATGAATCCGGGACCAAAATATAAGAAAACACACAAAAACAAGAGTGAAAATATTTGATAAATGCGTCTAGTCAAAGAACATTTTGAAATATTCGCTACCAAATACAGGAACAAGTAAAAGTGGGTGATTATGCCAAGCGGTCGGTGATTGGATGCTACTGAAATATTTACACCTCTGTTTGAAGCTACGTGGTAGCTGGACGCACAGCTAGGAGGGTTAATTTTCAGCGTGAGGGATAAATATTGGTAAATATTGTTTACTTGTCCCTGTATGAGGGCAACAAATGTTTTCCTTTTGTGCTGAGCAGTATTCCGCTTATATTATGTGGGAGGTACCAACACACATTAAGTTTACCCTTCCGTCGCTACACGCACTTTTGGCTTTTAAATCATAAAGAAAATTGGTTGGAAAATGCAGATTCATCATCACTTTCAACATAAATGTTATGATCAACTAGTGAGCGACTGACTCAGTGGTCTTGACGTGAAGCCTGTAAGTTAAAGTCGTTCAATATCCCACCTGAACATATAAAAAGACAAAAATAATTAACTCCAGGACGTTTAAAATGTTCTTTATTTATAAATGTATTCATCTTTACGTAGCGACCAAATCACTGAACCTCTTGTCCGTGCGTAAAACGATGGCTGGTCTAATTCACATTTGAATGTCTACCAATAACATGCTTTCTGGAATGATTCTTAAATACGTGTAACCTGATGGTAAGTATACATTTATAATCTATGTGTTTAGCCATATAGAATTTATTTTAAAGCAAGAACTAACCATCTTATCTGTGGCTTTACAATCATATTTGTTTGGAGCAACACAAACACACCACGCTTGCAATTACAAGGCCGCTTTAAACAACACATCAACCAAATCCAGTGTGTTGCAGGACTGTGAAGTAAACACCTGTGGCGCATAGCCTGTCCTCCACACACCGACCTTGAATGTGCATGGACATGGCCTTTTGGAACATAATGTATCGTTGCTTATCTAAACAAACTTAAAACAAACCGGGGGGGAATCAGGCATTTAATTGAATAACAGCAGTTAGACAAGACACATGCAATTATAATATATTTTTGCAACATTTTGTTAACGTTTTATCTGTCCGTAAACATGAACTTGACTGTTTGCGTCCACATTAATCCGAAACTACATGCGCAGGTCATCTTACAAGACACACACAACCACATAGAGCCACGATTTTGTTGAATTAGGCCTGACATTTGTGTTGGAGGAGAATTTGGCTGATAATCAGGTTCATTTTTAATCCGCGCTGAGTCCCACCAGAAAGCAGGGCCTATAGTGCGCACTTTCAGAATCCCAAAGTCAAAGATGACATTTGGGAAAAATCTGTTTTATCTGCATCTGCAATGCATTTTTTTTTACTACTATTAATTTAACTGAACTTCTTGTGAGCTGATAAAAACTGTAGCATATCTGACAGAAACAGAAACATTTTACACAACAGTATAAATACATGTCAAAGGGCTTATGATAAACTGCAACATTCATAGTACGACAGTATATATTCTGTGTACTGATGGTCATGATCAAGTCCAGAGGTCATCAGTATGCGTGGAAAGCCTGTTCGCGCAGCATCAGTCGTTTCTTCTTCATCCTCCGGTTCTGAAACCATATCTTCACTTGTTGGTCGCTCAGTTCCAGTCTGTCTGACAACTCTTTCCTTTTCTGTCTGTTAATAAATTCATTCATCATAAATTCATTCTCAAGTTCAGCCAGCTGTGGCTTCGAGTAAGGTTTTCTCTTCTTTCTGGTTTTCACTTGGGACGAGCACCACGGTGCACCTGGAAAAAACAGAGGTGGAAACAAGTTTAATACTTTAAATTAACACCTGAATCAGCAACAGTAGGCTAATACACGTTGAGATAACTGCTCCCAGTGGCAGTGCCTATAGTGTTACTCACACCATACACGAATAATAATATAGTAATATAAGAAGGCTAGTATTACCCTGAACCACAGGCGCAGTAGCGCTTACATATATAGGAGTAGCCTATTAAAATACAATGGAAGCCACAGGAGATGTAAACTGGCCATCAAACATTCAGACAGTAATATGAACTCATTACACATCACACGCAATCTTTAAGGTTTTAGTGTTAACTCCTGCATAACAGTACATACCGATGGAAACTGATGAATCTCAGAATAATGTGATATAGAATCACAAACACACAATATGAGACATCCTGCATAACAGTACATACCGATGGAACCTGATGAATCACAAACACACAATATGAGACGGTAGTGATTCAGGGCGCACAGACTGATGTGGTGCTTTAAATAAAATGCTTGTAGAAATAGCTCAAGCTACGATACAACGTGGATATAAATTATAATACTTAACCTTCAACAAAAATAGTCTTGGAGCATGTGTTACTTAGTGATGGGTGAAGGGGATTCTGCTCCTGTTTGGTGTCGTTCATATGTAGTCGAGCTGCTGAATCCGCATCAATCTGGGCCGCAGGAGCGTGAGACCGGCTGTCCAGGTCTGAGTAGCCGCGGTCCCCGGCGGTTTCGTGCTCCCCGGCGTAAACCGCATCTTCTGTTTTGTGGTTTGTGTCCTGAAAGCATCGAGCAGACTCCTCCAAATGCGCCTTGACGTGACCGCTGCAGGAGTTGGTATTTATAGACACCGAGTTGGACAGAAACGGCGGACAGTAGCCCCCAAAGGCGCGGCTCTGTGGTGGTGGTGCGGCTGATCCGGACGTGCACGAACTTGAGGAAGTCCACGGAAGCGTGCACACGTCCCTCCTATTGTAAGGGATCTGATGCAGCCCGGATATATGAGCTCCATTACCCCGCAAGTTGGAGAAATATAGCGACTCAGGGGGCGCAAAATTCAACAGAGAACCAACATAGCCGGGATTTAAAGGATTCCGCTCACACATTTCCATGGAGCTTTCCTCAAACGCTTCTTGCAAGGCTTTTAGCAACTCCTGAGGAATAAAGGGTAGGTAATTGTTGATTTGTTAATCCAGGGTCACGTGATATGCAGAGCACGTTGTTCCGCCCCACCCTTGCTCCCAGTACTGCATAGCAAAACAGGCTACTCCATGAGGAAATATTTTGGTACGGGGTGGGGGATGAAGTTAAACTCCAACCATCTGTTTAGTCTTCTATATTTATCTATCAAAAATGTCACAAAGATCTGTAGAATATTTGGCTAATGCCAATGTCGGGAGCTCTTAAAGCGCATGAGTAGGCTAAGGGTTGTACCTTGGTATCACTGTGTTGTGACATTAGGAATAAAAATGTCTGACCTATATAGGACGGGGCTTTAAATGCAACACAGGAGACCCGAAATAATGCAGGCAGAATAGGCAAGCATCCAGTCTAAAATACGCCCACCATTCTAATAAATATAGGCTACTTTTCAGATTATGTTCAAGTAGTTTTCTTGCAGTGACTGATGGGTACAGTCAAATCACAAGTACATGTAGATAAATCAATACAGACCGATAGATGCTCATGACAGCCATAAATAAAAATCGCCCTGTCCACATGCAGTCTCAAAAAGGTAACATAAGTCTCAGACAAATAGCAGAGGGGCCCACTGTATTACTACATACAGTACACCGAGGCCCTAGAGCTGTTGCTTGTCTTATGGCATCTCCCTTGTCCAGTGTTGCCTTTATTTGTATCAGCCTCGAAGCTGGAGTTTGTTCAACATGTAATGAAATACAGTAGCCTAGTCTGTCCCAGAGCATTTTGCTGAAAACTATCGCCAGTCTTTAATATTAAAAGCACCGTTTTACGTCCTGCGTTTGCCACCTGCAGAATAAAATGTACCTAAAAGTGCAACTTAGGCTGACAGGGAACTTCACTGTCTTCCGAGGTGAAGAAAAGGACTATTACAGCCGCCACCGTTCTACAAACACGTCTGCATTTCAATTGTAAAGTACGAATCTCTGCAGTCAAACATTAAGGAAGAACAACGAGCATTCTCCCCTTGAAAAGTTTTCATATAGTCATATTCAAAGTGCACATCTTAAAACAACTTTCCACAAATTCACAAGTCCAAGTGCATGTTTTGTTTAGCAAATAGTGTCAGTAAGCCTTCACCACTCATGCGTGGTCAATTTAGTTACGCCTTTTATAATCAGTCATAATATTTCCAATATTAGTCCCATTATCAATACAACATCTGGTAGCACCCTCCGATGATATTTAGAGCATTATTATGCGCACTGGTTATTTTGCGGTATCCTTGGAGAGGGTTTTTTTTTGCTACCTCCTTGAAAATTTTGTGTGCAGCTTGTGTGTGTGTGTTGTGAGTGATGAGTTCAAAAATCCACTCTCACCGAAGACTTGGCGGAGTTATGTGTTTTTATTTCTTCCACTGGGTCACACAGTGGGAACGGTGTATTTAAAGAGTGATTGTTTCCACTGAAACCTCCACAAACAATGCAACACGAGTCTTCACCGATGGGATTTCTTATGATGAGAGAAAACTATGGGGATGTCTGCATGAAAACCCACCACCCCAAAACGACTGTTCTGAGATTTAAATGAGAGAGGATTTGGGGTTTTTACCAGACAAATCTCTCAAAATCACCGTATTAAGTAGCCACTGGAATTATTGCTCCTGTAATCCGACAGGGGGCGGTGTAGGGTCATGTGCGACCACTGTCCTGCGAGCTGTCCGTGTTTTGGTCATTGTCAGTAAATTCTGAAATTAAGCATCATCATTTGTTTCAGCCATGACTCGGGTAATGCAGATCTTTCATTGTTGTTGTTCTAAAAATGTTTCTGTTCCCATTTGTTTGTTTATTAAATATGAGGTAGAGCCTGTAGGGAACGGCGACTGTACAAGGAGCCTATAATAAGCTTTGGCTGCATAAAGAAAACTGATCCCAGCCTTTCTTCTTCTCTCCCTCTCTGAATTTGAAATCTGAAACATGGTTGTGCACTTCACAGGAGCTGAAACACAGTGTTACTGTTAGCTTCTATGCTTGTACTGTACCTCAGTGGTTTCTATTCTGTTTTGTCTGTTTACATGTACACATGTGTTTGTTCTCTTGTTGCTGGGCAGACAGCTTTGGTGTCTGCATTTAATAAACTGAAAATGATACTACATTAACAAAGTGATGTATTGTATTTTGGCACTACTCTTTTGTAGTGCAGTGTGTTCAGTGCTTTACAAATAAAGAGTAGGCTAATAGAAATAAGCTTTGGCTGCAGCTTTCTCCTTTTCGGTCCTATTGGCGAGTATATTAAATATACTAGAGCGTTAAAATGTAAATTGTTCAAAGAATAAGATACGATATACAGAAGGCTACTGCAAAAAAGCAAAGAAAGACACTGTACCTGAATGAGGGACCGTGATAAAGTGGTTTTATAATAACACCATAGTCGAAGACACCTACGAAAATTATAGAAAAAATTAAGACACCAATTATATAAAAGACACGTGTCAGGGCGACGACACCACACAGATTAATAAAAAAAAATACAATAGTATAACCTGTCTAGAAAAGAAAAACAAAAATAGGGCGTTTAAATCTTAAATATTTAGTATGATGAGGCTCAAATGAAGTACTGTATATAGGTTACCAATTTAAAAGAGCTGAAGTAATTTAGATCGGCAGGGCCGTTTGTTTTCAGGGTATATTCACAAATCAGTAGCTATAATGTGTCAAAAATATAGGTCGAACTACTGAAATAAAAAACACTTAAATCGCATGGAGCCCATGGTTCATTATTATTTTTTTTAACTGTGAAGCTTAAATGGAGGGAATAAACATTTAATAGCTCATCGTTTCATCTCTTGAAACTTACACATTCATATCTTTTGTTATGCGACAGATTTTCCCCAAAAGCTGGAGTTTCATCTCAAAGTTCTCTGTGCCAAATGGGTGTATTTTTTTATTTTTCAAAAGCAAATCTCTTAAAAAGGATCAAAATGCACGAGTTTGTATGGAAAACACACACACACACACACACACACATTTAAATTTTCGTGACTAAAGACCTAGATCCTTGTGTTCCAAAGTATGAGCAGCACAATTAGAAAATTAGACCAAGCTTTAGTGTTTTAGTGTCATTTAGTGTCCTTCGTGCTTCACGTTTACGGTGCCAGGAGCCAAAGTGAGGAGCCCCAGTCTGGCTCTTTTCCAGGGCCTTTGAAGGGAGCTATCCGCCGTCGATTGTTCTTGGTAATAAACTTGCTGCTTCCCTCGTTCAAGTTCTCTGGGCTGAGAAATGCTGGCCTCAATCTGCCGAGTGTTCCGACAGTGTTTTGACTCAGTGGAAGCCAAAATGTGATTCACACATGGATGTGGGATCACGAAGAAAGTGCCAACAGGTCGCAGCAAGAAAAGCACTAAGACTTGGTGGCTGAGAATGATTTTCTGGCCACGAATTGCGTGCATGTGGCGCGATTGGAAACTTATCTGAAGCTCCTGTTATGTCTTTCAAGCAGATCTAATCAAATACAACAGACCCCAACAGTCGTTTAGGGGGGTTACAGACCAAAAACTACACAGATGTGTAGTTTTATTTAAAGAACCAGCGGTGATTCGTTTACCAATCAGTTCAGGGAAGTTCAGCGAAATTGAAACTCTCTTTAACTTGTCAGATCACTTCAGCCAAAGACATCGAAACAAATTCACTTAAAATAAAAATCAGGTGTACAGACAAAGATTTTACCTGAATAAGTTCAAATAGTAAAGAGCTTAAACTGTGGAGCCACTGCAGTTTGGGCAAAAGGATGCTGTTCTGTTTTACAGAAGTAGCTGCATCCAAGTTCAGTCGAGTGAAACTTTCGACACATTGTTCAGCTTCTCTTTTTCAGTTTGCACAAGGCTGCGTTATTTAACCACCTTTAATAATAATCCACTGAAAACTTCACCACCACCTTCATGCTAAAACATCACAGTGCAATGTTAAAACCTTACACTGCCGACATGTTTTGTGTTAAAGTGTCAATAGAAGAGCAATGAACAAAAGTGGAGCTTAATAAACCGTTGTTGTCCAGCACAGTAGGTCTCAATATATTAAAAAATAGTTACTCCTCCAGAAAAATAAGGAGTAAAGTCGAGTAACGTTACAGAAACATAAGTGATGATTGCTGAATTTTACAAACACAAAGATTAGAAAATTAAGTTTACTGTGGCACATGATTGATGCCTTTTACAGAAGCAGCATCTTTAAAACAGAAATTCAAATTATGCAGGCTATGTCTCTTGAACTTTCACATCAAAATCAATACTGATCATGTTAGACACGGTCGCTTATATCTAACAGATGTGATTATAACAAAAGGTCAAAGCACAGGCGCGTCTAATTACATATTAGAGAGGTTTGTGTCGCATCAATCTGATGTAACTCTGCCCTGTTCCCCATGAACGTTGTCACGTCAAGGCTGCAACAACGTCGGTGTCCGCCCTGGTGTTTGCATTTACAAGATGTCGCCACTAGATGGCCCTCTCACTTAAGGGAAGATGTGTGCAGACACAAAGTGCACAAGCATCAAACGGACAAAGCAGCTTTACTCCGCAAACAACACTGGGACATTTGACCTCAGAATGGTATTTGGTCCGAAGTACAACAAGTTAAGAAGAGGTAACAGGCTTTAACAGCATTGGCAGAACTGTGATTTAGAGAAGTGGAAAACTAAATATTATGCAAGATGAATGAGAAGGCTGAATTATTTTGCAACCACATATATGGAAACAAAAATATATCTTGTTTCTGTAAGACAGTTCTGTTATTAAATACACACTGTGATGCTAAGGTTTTTTTTTTTAACTGCCGTTTGGACTAAGAATTAACAATTACATAGTGGCCACTATAGCATATACATGATATTCACAGTACACTACTTTAACACATGAAGTTTATCTGCCTATTATTCAACAGAAGGAAGAATATAAAGCGTTCTCTACACATCTTCATGGCGTCCGCATACACAAAAAAATGACACATGCAAGATGTGCACAGAATGCAAAGTCTTAACTATGTGGATACCACGTTTTTGAACAATAATACAGATTAGATGAAGCCTCTCCACTGTGAGCATGCATGTTCTCCCTTGGCACAGATGATGTGCCATCTGCATATACATACATGTGTACAACTGTAGATGTACATGTATTTTTCCACTGTCTGCTGCACTTACATTAGATTTTGCCAAAATAACTTTACACAGTTGGACTTTTGAGGAGGGTGGAGCCACTTTGCAAGTAAGTAGCAATGCCTGATACAGAAAAAGACAAAACATACTGTAAGTGAAAGTAACACATGGCTTAAAATATTCTCCCAAAGAAAGTTGGTTGCTTGTAGAGTGACATTTAGCAGCCTTTATGAAGGGCTGCATTCAGGGCTGTCAGGGGGCCCAGTGAAGCCAAAAGCACTGGTCCAAAGCTACTCACATCCTTTGCTCAAGGAAAAGTAGAGATAACATTGTGTATATAAAAGTTTGCATTTCAAATGTACTAAAGTACAAAAGTATTACCAGCCAAATATTCTTCAAGTTCCAAAAGTAAAAGTACTTATTGTGCAGAACGGCACATTTCACATTGTCATATTATTGGATTATAAATATTTTATTTCAGCTTTTATTTGTAAGAGACCATGTACAATATTAAACATAAATGCTGCCATTTGATGTATTGTACCAGAGTTATCTTAAAGCTAATCTGCAGTTCATTGGGAGGTCATAATCAAAAACATAATGACAGTAACAAAACAATACCAACCACAACTAATACAATAAAATACAAAACAAACTAGATAAAAAACTAAATCACACATTGTGTATCAACATATTCAAAAACAATATAATCACAGACAAAACACACACATACAAAATTTAAGGTCAGTGGTTACATGACTCATTGTCCTTTAACAGATTTTTCAATTTAGCCTTAAAATGACTAAAGGATATTGATGTATTATTGTGTTCATTACTTTAATGTTGAAGATATTAAAGGTGGAGTTAATTTTATCTAGCTTATATACAAGTTAAAATACTTTAAATGCTGTGGGTATCTTGTGAATTTGCCACCAGGAACAATACAGTCTATGAATATACTTCATTTTGCTTTATTAATGAGTCTGAAAAGTAACAAACTTAAGTGGAGTAAAAAGTACAGTAATGCCATCTAAAATATAGTGAAGTAGCATAAAATGAAAACAAAGTACTAATAACTCAAAATTATATACAATATTAGAGTACATCTACTTAATTACTTCCGTGCACTGCACAGAGGTGCCTTAAGTTGCAGTTCCTCTAATGGCCACTAGAGGAGTGCGAGTCCAACAAAAATAACAGTACTGAGGTGACTCACCGGGGAAACTTCCTCCAGCTTCTCACATCTTGTAATATGTGTTTTATTGGTCAATTCAAGAGCTAGTTCGCCACAACTGCAATATTAAATCACACAGAGAAATGGTGTTTTGTGGCATGTTTACTTGACTGACTGTCATCTAAGCCAGTCCACATGAGCTCCCCTTCACTTGGCCCATGAATGGATATGCTACTTGGAATAACTCAATAAACAGTGGTAGCCTGTTGTAGTGAGTTCAGAAACTGTTGGATCATGTCTCTCACACATGTTTTTATTCCTCATGGGGACTATAAATTGAAATACATTTATTTCCAGGAGACTTAGCCTATACCCAAATCACTACTTGCCTAACCTGCCTTAATCTTAAAAGTCAAATCATCATCCTAAAGTTTAAAGGAAGGCAGAGTCCTCACAGTGCTGCTCTGGAAATTTATTACACAACTTCCATTATAGTTAATATCAATTTTCCCAGTGTTTGATTACAAAAATCGCCTTTCTTGTGGAGCCACCACAAAACAGAGAAATGGAAAAAGCTCAACAATCCAGTAAATATTGAGAGCCCCTGTGCCCACTGCACCTTTCTATATTGCTTTTGTGATTTAGTCTGATTCTGTATGAATCTCAAATTTGAAGTTTGTATTGATAGACTCCAAATGTTCTTAACACATGTTTAGGTAGAGGTCCATTTACAGCAAGCTACTATTTTTTTTCCACCAGTGCAACCGCACAGCCCATCTGAAGAAGTAACATGCATCTGTGCTATGAATCAGCCTCTGAGGAGCAGCTTGGGAGTGACTTCAAGTCATCCACATGAAAGACTTCAAGTGCAGCTAAGCAGAAGAGAAAGACTCCCTCACCAAATTAGCCAAAAAGTATTCTAGATGTGACACCAGACCTTATTCACAACAAACATTTCTGAAGTGTTGCACAAGCACAGGCACTGGCACTAACCTTAGTGTGGTTGTGTATAGTCAACAAAGCCACAGAGTGATCAGTGAGCCAGCATGCACAAAACCAGGACCCCAGTACTGAAGCAGCTGAATGTGAAAAGTATAGCAATAACAATGCTCAGAAGTAACCATGGCACTTTTGATTTTTATAGCTGGTCAAGAAAACAGCTGAGCTAAAAAGGTGAGGTTTTAACTATCACGACTAAAACTCAAAGATAAATGTGCAGGTTTCTACAATTCATAAATGTCTGCATTATAAGAGTATCCCCTAAGATAGAATGATTCACAGTTGTATAATTAATCCAGTACATGCATGCAAATGACCTCATTATATTAAATGTAATTTCCCAAAGCTCTTAGAAAATTAGGTGCATACCAGTGTCTTTCTTGATTATGTTTTTTTCCCCCCCAAACAAAAGAAAACAACGTGTTTGCAAGCAAAGAGATGGGTGCATTTAACTTCATTTAATTTAGAAAACATTATATTAATTGGTCTCATCATGCAAGTTGTAAAACATGATTCTACCAAGTCAATTTAGAGCATGGTTTTCATAAACAGTGCTGGGCTGAAATATTTTATTATTAGCTCCATGGAGAAAGCTGTGATTGAAATGCAAACCTCAATAGGTTGTTCTGTCCTGGCCTGTAGCCCCAGAATCATATGTTGTGTGACACCACATAAGGGCAGGACAGAGGTTGACTGAATCCTATTAAATAGCTCACGGTATTACAAAAAAAACAACGTGTCGAGTTTGGGAATGAGCCTCTTTGGCTCTACACAGTTTTCCAGTAGGCTCACCAATTTCCATCATCCACTTCTTCATTGCCATAATGTTCCCCGTGGAAACGTTGCTCAGGACAGACACGAGTCACACCACAACAGCCAATATTGAGCGACAGCAATTATTAGTATAACCTTTAGGGGGCGCCAGAGGACGTACAGACGACACTGATGGTAACTGGAGTCTTTTCATAACGAGAAACGACGAGTCCACACATGGGTGTTTTATCTCTGTGCATCAAGCCTCCGTTAGAATAAATACAACGCGTGCATGTGCTGGTTATCTCCTAACTATACCAGGAAGCTAAGAGAGGGTTTGACAAAGAGAAAATGAAGGGAAATCACTTTACAGTAATATTTTCAAAATCATTGGAGATTCTATTAAAAACGCAAAATATTCAAATATAAGGTCTTAAATCCGAATAATTCGTTTAAAGTCAACATCAAGACCAACCGAAAGGACGCAAAGAAATAAGTGCAACAAATATGCATTTTAATTCCAAAAGTAACGATTGATTGTTAAATTTGAACAGATTGGCCCATTGCCACGTCTGAGCCGTTTTAAAAGAATCCTGCCTTAACATATAAATAGGCTCTTTACAGGCTATGATTGCGTGCTGTTGTCGACAACACGCATTATCACCATCAAAATGTGTCTTTGACGAATAAAACCGTGAAAGAAACAAAAACCAAAAAAAGAAGAAAAATATCAAGTGCACTCTAAAAGATAATAAACTCAAATAACTACTGAAAATACTTCATCTTTTAACGCAGACTTGTAAGTGACTGTGTCGCAGAAATGGCCAAACATAAAAAAAAAAGAAATGGGGAATAAATAAAAGAATGATTAGGGAGGAGTGGGGGGGG